CACCAGCTAGCCAGAGGTGTTTTGTTGTTAGTTAAACATTTCCTGGGTGTGAAGATGGACTTTTTTCATGTTGATGCGAGTGCCCGGTTGATCATGGCCAATATTGCCATGAGCAGTAGTTTGTTTTGGGTCATTGCAGTTTATGCACCCAATGACCAGAGGGAGCATGTCGAATTTGTTTGTGAGTTGGGGCCCATTACTGGTTGATTCGTCACACTTAGTCTTAATGGGGGAATGGTGACCCCAAGATAGACAGGGCAGGGACTGGGTAATCGAAGCTGGGTTGATCTGATTGGCAAGTTTGGGCTCATCGATAGATACTGGGTCGATCATCATGGAAGTTCAGTCTGTCTTTACTGGACAGGCAGAACTTCCGGCAACAGCTGATTAGATTAGTGCAGGGGAAAATAGTGGGGGCAGTTATTGGGAATAAGTGGTGGGTGCAGCTTAAGGACAGTATTAGGTCTTTTACCACTGAATATAGCCAATGTCTCGCCTTAGACATGGCTAAGATGGTGAAGATTCTAAGAGTAGTCTGTCCCGGGCGGAGGCTGGGGGATTCCCTAGAGATAGCACTAGCTAGACAGGCTCTGTAGTGTAAGACTAGCGAGCATTATCAGGGTCAGGTAATTAGATAAAGGTTAAACAAAATGTATAATAAAACTGTGAACTAGGATAGTCAGTGAAGACCAGCTTTTTCCTCACCTCCCCTTCAGCCTTGTGCCACAATTTTTGTAAATTTACAAGAATAAATATACATTCCCACTCCCATTTGTGAAATCAACAAATTGAATAAAAACAAAGTAGCAGGACCAAATGGAATTGTAATTGAGATGCTGGCAATCTTAGATGATTTTGGCATAGACAAAATTAGAGACATAATAAATGAAATATACAACAGTGGTGATATACCAGAAAATCTAAGTAGATCCATTTTCATAGCACTACCTAAGAAAACAGGTGCACAAGAATATGAACTCAATTGGACAATCAGACTAATGAGTCACATAACAAAACTTATCATTTAAATTCTGATGAATATAGTGCATAGTAAAATTAGACTGGAAATAGGACAAGAACTGTGCAGTTTTGTTAAGACACTGGAACAAAGAATGCAATATTTATATTCAGAATGACATCAGAAAGAGCAATACAAATGCAGGAGGAAGTGTGTCTGTGTCTTATAGTTTATGCAAAAGCACTTGATAAAGTACGCCATAAAGAAATGTCGGAACTGCTAAGTAACCTTGACATTTGGAAGAGATATTAGAATAATCAAGAACCTATAGTGGCAGCAATCTGCTGACATATTGATAGAAAATGAATTCAGTAAATATGCAAAAATAGAAAGGGGTGTGTCTTCTTTTATTTCTTTTTTTATGTGCTGTGTCCCTTCAGGATGTAGGCAATCATAGCTCTCCACTTCCCACTATCCCTTGTAGCTCTTGATAAGTTTCATCCCTTTGCCACCTCCCCCAGACCATAATCTGTCATCCACTTGCTTGCCTGTCAGGTATTCCATGCATTGTTTTCCCTTGTCTATCTTTCCCTCTATTCGACCTTTGAGTATCAGATTCTCCAGGCCCTCCTTTCATGTCCCAGAAACTTCAGTTGCCTCTTCTTGATGTTAAATATATGACTCCTCCTTGTTTGCATCCTCTTCAAGACCTCATCATTGCTCACATGCTTGGTCCATGATATCCTCAGCATCACTCTGTAGAACCACATCTTTGCCTTAAGTCTCTTCTTTATCTTTGAGGAGACTGTCCAACATTTGCTGCCATAAAGGAGGACAGATGTCACATAACAGCTCAGTATTCTTTTCTTTGTTACTAAAGAGATCCTCCTGTTTCGCAGTATTTTGCCTAGCTTTTGGAATGTGTTCTTGGCCATCCCAATACATCTACAGATCTCACTTGCTGTCCTCTGTCAAAGAACTTCCCAGATATTTAAACTTCTGCACATGCTTGAGATTAGTTTCCCCAAACTGAAAATCGCATTTCAGACTCATCCTTTTACTGATGACCATGCATTCTGTCTTCTTGTAGTTTATGCTTAGTCCCTTCTTCTTGCTCTCCTTTGATATCATCTGTAGGAGATTTTGTAATTTCTTTTCTGTGTCTGCTATCAGTACTGTATCATCTCCATATCTTAAGATTGTGACTGCTGATGCTGAATCCCAGTAGGATTTCCAATTCTCTCAGAATTGCTTCACTGTATAGGTTGAATAAGTCCAGTGAGAGGACACATCCTTGCTTTACACCCCTTTCTATTTTTGTATATTTGCTGAACTTGTTCTCTATGTGCATGCATACTGTTTGCTGCCAGTATAGGTTCTTGATTATTCTAATATCTTTCCTGAATATACCAAGGTTGCTCAGCAGTTTCAACAAATCCTTGTGGCATACTTTGTTGTAAAAGCAAGGATGTGTCCTCTCACCGGACTTATTCAACCTATACAGTGAAGCAATTCTGAGACACAGAAAAGAAATTTGATTTTAAAGTTCTTCTGCATTTGTATTAGGCATTGCTATAAAGATAGAACTGCTGAGATCTCTCGGTATCTCCCCACTGCTGTAGATTTCATTTATTATTTCTGTGATCTTGTCTATGCCAAAGTCATCTAAGGCTGTCCGTATTTCCATTACATTTCTGTCTGGCCCTGCTGCCTTGTTTCTGTTCAATTTGGCCAGTGCAGCTTCTACTTCATTTTCCAGAATTTCAGGTCCGTTGGTAGTTCTGTGTATTGCTGGTCGTTCTCTTTTACCGTGGAAGAGTTCTCCAATATATTCATTCCAGCATTGAAGAATTTTTTCCTTCTCTAATATGAGCATTCCATTCTTTGATTTTAAGCACCTGTTGACGAGCAGGTCTTCTGTCCTGTTATTTGTTTTATTTGTTTGTGCATATCTCCTTTGTTGATGGTAATCAATCTCTCTATTTCTGCACATTTTTTGTTTGGCCATTCTTCTTTAGCTTGCCTGCATTTGGTCCTTATTTCATTATGTAATTTTCTATACTCTGTTCCATGTCTTGACAGAGTTTTCTGTCTCCTTTCCATCATGTTGAGAATCTCATCAGTCATCTATTCATTTTTTTTTCTCTTTGTCTTGTCTCCTTTGGGATGATATCGTTTGCTGATGTCACTAAAAGCATCTCTTAGTGCATCCCATTTTGAGTTTCCATTGTGTTCCTTGAATCTTCTTTTTCATATTGTCCATATATTTTTTTTTTTATAGGTTCAGGTCACTCAGGAGTTTGTTGCATTGCAATTTTTGCTGCATTAGCTTCTTCAATTTCTGCAGTTTCATTCTTAGTTTACATATAACAGGGTGATGATCACTTCTGCAGTTTGCACTTGTGTAGGTTTTGCAGTGAATTATTGCATTCCTGAATCTTTTGTTGATAGTTATGTAGTCAATTTGGTTTTTAGTTTCTCCTCCTGGGCTCCTTCATGTCCATAATCATCTCAGATGTTCTTGGAACCATGTGTTAGCTATTACCTGGTCATTGGCTGTACACCATTGGATTCATTTTTCTCCACGTTCATTGCGGCTTCCTAGTCCAAATCTTCCTGCTATATCCCCTTCCCTTTCCTTGCCTATTTTGGCGTTTAGGTCTCCCATGATAATGATGACTTCTTGTGATTTGCAAAGAGCTTTGGCACTGTTTAGCATGAAGTAGAAAGATTTGATTTCCTCTTCCTTACTTTGTGCTGTCGGTGCATACACTATTATGATAGATATGTTGAAAGGCTTTCTTTTCAGCTTGACTACCAGAATACTTTCATATAGTTGGTAGTATCCTAGAACACACTTCTAAAATGTTTTATCTAGTATTAATCCTACTCCTTTGTTGTTTTTCTCTCCACCTGCATAAATAATCCTTGTTGCTAACAAAGTCTCTGTTGTTTGGCCATCTGGTTTCATATACACCACACACAAGACCTATTCAACCTATACAGCAAAGAAAAAGGAAAGAAACAGAAACAAAGACAGAAGGAAAGGGAAGAGGAAAAGGAAAGAGGAATGAAGTAAAGGGAAAAGAAAAAGAAATGAGGACAGAAGAAAAAGAAAAGAAACAAGGAGAAAAGGAAAGGGAAAAAGAATTGAAGACAGAAGAAAAGAGAAGGAAAAAGGACAGAAAAAGAAACATAAAAATAACTAAAACAAAAAAAATGATAAAAAATAGATGAAATAGAAATGGAAAATGTGAATGGAAGGATTATGAAAAAGAAAAAGTTTGAGAAAAAAAATAAAAAGAGAAATAAAGAATGAAAAGATGAAAAGGATATAAGTATAAATGAATGTAATTTTGGAAGATGGAGAAGAAAAGGAAATCAAAAACAAACAAAAGATAGACAAGAAGAGACACTTAAAGTAAAATCTTCTTATAATAAAACTTGAAGGCTCCCAGAGTCTTTAAAACATTTCAATAACAAGTATTGGGTACCCAGTGAATTGTCTAACCTACCTACTATTACTGTACTGTGAGACACCCAGACAGTTAAAACTAATTAATTATATGATAGTGACAGAGATGATCTGTTGCCATAGAGATAAACCAACATAAGAATTTAAATTAATTAAACCTAAATCAAGGAATGGACATCTTATCTTTCTTCTGGGGTGATAATTTCTAAATGCTTATTAATTATATAAATTCAATGATAAATGTATTTTTCTTATAATTAAATTTCTTATTCTTTAATGTAAACTTGAAAATTTGTTACAATGCAGAATAGAAGTATACAGGTTAGGTGAACAGATACATTATGAAATATTCCTAATCAGTAGTGTGGACCAATCAACATGCAGTATTTGTGATTGAAATATGATTTAGGTTTCAACTGGTAGAGATAAACCCTTACAGGTAAGAACAGACTTTCAGTATCCAGTTATGTATCTGGAATTCAAAGATACAAAAATTTGCAATAAGTCTTTTTGAATTATTACACTTTTCTAAATCTCTTTCTCAATCTATTCTTTTTGTGTTTGCAGATAGTCAATGAGGAATTAGAAGAATTGCTTTCCCAGCAACAACAAATTGAAGGCAGCTATAAGAAAGCAATTGCTAAGAAACAACAGTTGAAATCCAAGACAAAATACAGCCAAAGTTTGGCAAAAGCTGATGATGAAATAGAATCAATTGGTAAGAAATTGGGAAACAACACACTGAAATTTGGACGTTCAATACAGCAAAATCCATTGGCGATTGATAACATTATCAAAATTGATAATGACCGGTATGTTTTTAGTTTCCACTTTTTTATTCTTAAATTTTTCATATTTTTTCTTTTCAATTTCCCTGTGTCTTTTTTAAATTTTATTTCTGATTCTTTATTTTTCCTTTCCCATATTGACTTCCTTCTTCTACTCCGACTACTTTTCACCTTTTTTTAACTTCTTCCAAATTTTACACCTCTTCTTAAATTATTACACTGTTTTCTGTTACTCCATGCTCTTTCCATTTCCTAATCTTTTACAGTCCTCACTTCTATTTCTTCTTGCTCCCTTCACTTCCAAGACCTTTACAGTCCTTCTCTCTTTCTTATATTTTTCCTTACACCCTCCACTTCTAAAACTTTACAGTCCTTCTCTCTCTATTCTATTTCTCCTTACCCCCTCCTCTTCGTAAACGTTTATAGCCCTTCTCTTTTTCTACTATTTCTCCTTGCATCTTTCTTTCTCTTCACTTTTTCTATCATATTCATTTTTTACTTACCCTTATATCTTTTCCATTTATTTTTATTGTCTTCTTTCATTTTTATAACCTTACTACATTTTTCTTTCAAAGTTTTCTTCTCTCTTCCTCTTCCATTAATTATTTTCTCATTCTTTTTTCTTTACTCTTCTCTTCCTTTTCTGAAATTTAATCTCTCTTTATACAAATATCTACAATGCTATTTATCCATTACAGTGATATTCTATTTATTTTAAGAAATTATATTGATATCACATTTATTTACTTTCAGTACAGTAATATTACATTTATTCAAATGCATTACGATAATATCCCATTTATTCCTCCAATCAGTGGAATGGCTTGTTAATTTTAACACCTTCAAAACAGAACTGCTTTCATTTAATCATTATACAGAACATTTTCTGCATTCTATCAACATGACTGATGCTAACCTACAGGAGAACAACTTCTTACTTCTCCTTGGGCTTACGTTTTCCATTGATATGAAGTGGATTGGTTATATTGAGTCAATAACTTGTCTACTGCTAGTAAAGTTGGTCTGCTCTGTTGTGCCAGACAATTTTTCTTGTCAGAATCCATCTTGTACATTTATAAATCTACCATTTGTCTGTGCATTGAAAATTGTTACCATTTCTGGTCTGGTGCTCCCACTATATCTCTCCACATTCTTGACAAAATTCAAAGAAGGGTTGATAATGTAATCAATCCTGACCTGGCATTTCAACTTCAGTCACATTCTTACCAACATTACATGACTTCTCTTTGTCTTTTCTACAAATATTTTCCTTCTTGGTACTCCAACTGCATGAATTTAAATATACTATTAGATTATCAACTAGATTTCACCATTTTACTGTTGAAATAGCTAGATGCAACTGTATGTTCTATTCTAATAGTTTCTTTTCTCACCTGTGGAAAACTTTCCCAGTTTTTTGCCTCCTTGCCACCTACAATCTTCAAAAATTTAAATGCAATGCCAATCGCCATTTACTGTCTTCCAGAACCTGTTCTTTTATTGTCCTTTTCTCTCACTAAAGTCTTCTCATTCTCTTTCACTCCAATTAATCCCTTGCATTTTTGTGACATTATTGCCACGCTTGGAGAGAAATAATTTAAAAGAAAACTTAAATGTATTATAGTGACATCCTATTTATTTGAATGCATTAACCTCTAACTATAATCAAAATATCTTCTATTTTCTTACTTTTTTCTCTCCTTTTATTTCTGTTGTCATTTTTCTTCCCCCATTCATTCCCTAATCTCTCTTCTACATTTATCATATCCCCTTGCTCTATCCAATTATAACTATCAGAATATTACATCTTTAAGAATTAGACTAAAAGTATATGCTCATGAATAATTTATCAAGTCCACCCCCAGATCATCACTTCCTATCTGAGCTCTGCTGTATTTAAAACAATCATTCTAAGCTTTTTCTTATACACTATTTTTCAGTTGTTATTTCTTCACAAGAAAGTTTTCCAATGTAGCAACAACTGCATGCAACACATATTTGTATCTTTTTTTTTTTAATATATTTTATCTAAAAGAAAAAAAAAACAGTACCTGTAATTATAGTCAGATTTCCATTTCCCTACCTGAAGATCATATTGTTGTTATCTTGCACTTTTATAAAAGCAATGTTATGTTTTTTTGTACTGACTGATTTGCAACTAGACTTCTCAAGAGGTCAACAAATCAGAGAGGAAAGAAAGGGATTTATATTGATGGAACCAAAATAACTAAATTTTTATCACATATTTACTGTATAAATTAGTAATCCTGATTAATTTTCTTGTTAAAACAATTATTAAATACTTCCGAATCAGGCAGCATTTAAGCTAAGCTCCTGCAGAGATCACTTGATTATGCCTTCATCATAATAGTTAGGGAGGAGGAATAGATGCAATAGACAACAATAAACTACAGAAGAACTCAAAATTGATTGCTGTGTTTAAGTATTGCATTAATATTTAGCTTACCTTTTAAAAATTCAATGATAATTCTTCTGCTGTCACTTAATTTAAAGACAATTTGATGTATGTTGTTCCTTACTTTCCATACAAGCAACTATTTTTATTTCATGGGTGACTTTTGCTGGATTTCACAATTCATTTTGATTATTCCCAAATTTATTTCTAAGTTATAAAAATTTTTATCGTACAAAAAAATTTGTAGCAAAAAATCACACAAAAAAAATCACCAAAAACAATCACAGTAATGAAAACTTGAGAATCTAAAAGTTTAGGATTGGGGTCTGGATCCAGCCTGGCATTTTTTTAATTTGCTCACAGAGTTTGCCTGATTCCAAAATGCTTTGATATGTTGGGTTACACCCTCTAGGAGTAAAATTGAAAATATGGACAATTTTATTTTGAAACATTGTAATTTGAGAACAGTAATTTTTTTCATTTGAACATCAGCTACTGAAAGTTAGAAAGTTGTATCCCTTTAATTGTTTTTATCAGGAGAAGCCAAGATGGTGGAATCTGAAAGCAATTGCAATAATGAAAATTTGGTAGCCAAAGTTTCAGGATTGTAGGTCTGGATCTGGCCTGGAATGTTTTTAATTTGCTCATGGAGTCGGCCAGATTTCAAAATGGTATGATATGCTGGGCTACAGCCTCTAGGAGCAAAGTTGATAAAGTGTCACACAGTGAAACACTGACATTCACATTTATTATATAGACGATCAGTTAATTATGGTCTAAATTTATATTCTATAATCTTATTTTGTGTGGAAAATGTAATCAGCAAACCAACTTCAAATTCTGACCTAGGGTGTCATGAACCTGTCTTTTCTTCCTACAGCTATGGGTTAAATAGTAGGACAGACTATTCTAACCTTGAATGGTAGTCAGACTATAAGAAGGACTACTCTGAATTTAAAACCCTGGAGAAGGCAGCAGAAAATCATTCCTCTATATTTTCCAAGAATTTGTGGTAATTCACAGATAATAATAGTATGTGGAGAGTCATGACTACCTATGCCCTGAAGGGACATGGCATCAAAAAAAAGATAAATTTTTTCTCGACTTGATATAAATGCATTATTCATTATAGTTTGGCTGTTTGTTCATTCCTTTTAAATATCTATTTCTCTCAAAGTTTTTAAAATAGTTTGGCAATTTTAAAGTATTTATTTAATTTTGTATTTGGTTTTTTTGTAGTTTCATCCTTTTATTTCAGCAGCCTTTTTGGTTATGTTGGTATAATACACATATTACTATAGACATAGTTATATTTGTGCTTATTTCCTCCAGCATCTTCACAAGACCCGTTGGTGTTGTCCTGGTATTGATTTGCATTTTTAATTCCAAACTATGTTCATTTTAAAGAAATGCAACATATCTCTTGCCATGATAGCTGTTTGGTCCCATGGTGTTTATACTTGCACACTATTGTTTGTGCAGATGAACATATTGCCCCCAAGTACAAAACAGCCTATCAAAACATTCTACAGCAATATCATTTTCTGGAATTTTTTAAATGGTTTAAATGAACTATCATCTTAGTGTATATAAACTACTGGCTGACTAGGAATATCATGAAAGAAATAAAAACTGAAATCCCTCATTATTCTGACATTTTTTCATTTTAAAATGGTAATTCTATCCTAAGACAGGAGATTTTTATTGGAAGGAGATATGAGAAATTGGGGACACAATGAGTTTAAATAGATTTGGATAAGGTGAATGTAAACATCTTATTTCAACTACATATATATATATATATATATATATATATATATACACACAATGGGGTGAACCAAATATTTGTACACATAACATACAAATTTTTGATTTATTGTATTTCTAACTAATAAATAGACATACTTTCCATATAATTAACTGTACACAGATGCATAATAACTAAATATGCATAGAAAACAAAAAATGTTGATTTAATAGAAATAAATCGCATTTATCTATTTTTTTGGATGAAAAATGTAAAAATATATTTAAATTTCAGATTTTAAAATTTTTTTTTTTAATTTTCCATATTTGTTTATAATTAACTTACACAAATGCAAATGTTATAGATTAATTATATGAAAATTTATTTTTATTCATTAGTTAGTAAAATACAATAAATATAAAATTTATATGTGTATAATATTTGTTTTCCATATATATATATATATATATATATATATATATATATATATATATATATATATATATATATTTATATATATACAAATTGTCATAAGTATAATTATTTTAATTGTTAAAATTTTTTTTTTACTCTTCAAATTTCATTCTGAAAATTTGTGTAAAAATTACCTAGATCTACATGGGTATTAGTATACATATTTTTTTTTTTATAATAATTTCATTTATATTAATACTTATTTCCACCATTGTATATATAATATTAATGTAAATATAAAATTTATCATTTTCTGATTGATTTATATTCAGCAAATTCTACTTTGATAGTTTCATAGACAAACCTTTGTGTAATCATTTGGTCCAAATCATCAGGAGATATTAGCAAATTCATTTAGTTCTCTTAATCTCATTATTTTTTGTATTAAGTTAAAAATATTATGTATTTTTTTTTGAAAATATGTGTGTGTTTTTAAAATGTATGTGTGTGTATGTACACATATATAAATTTTTTTAGGTTATTTCCCTATTCATAATTTAAAGTCTCCTTATACTAACTCTTTTGTATGTTGTTCTTTCTTTTCTGATTATTATTTTTAAATTTTTTTGTCAAAATGATAATGCAGCAAGAGTATTTACAGTGTCAGAGACAACTTAATTTTTAATGCTTAAATGGCAAAAGAAATTTTTGTTTGTATGTGTTCATAATTTCAATATAAATAATTTTTTAGTTTCCCCGTTTCATATAATTAATAGTTTGTTTTTTAATGGCTTGGTTTTTATATTAAAGGGTTTATTAATTTTAGAAGTTTAGGTTTATACTTTCATATTTTTATTGATTTTGAATTTATCTGATCATTACATACATACATATATATATATATATATATATATATATATATATATATATATATATATATATATATATATATATATATATATATGTATGTATGTATAATATTTATATGTATGTAATATGTATGTAAAATATGTATGTTTGTATGTTTATATATATATGTATTGTATGTGTATATATATATATATATGTATTATATATATATATATATATATGTATTCAATTTGTATATATATATATATATATATATATGTATGTGTATATA